ATAATAATAATAATAATAATAATAATAATTTACTAATATTTTTTAACCCTGACAAAAAAATGGGTGTCTACAGGATGAAACAACAACTTTTTGATTATGGAATTGAAGTAGGTACCATTCCTATCAAGTGTGACGATACTAGTGCTATTTGTCTCACTGAAAATCCCATCCAACACTCTAGAACTGAGCATATTGAAATAAGATATCACTTCATTAGAGACCATGTCGCTAAGGAATATGTAGTTCTAGAATTTGTTGATACTTTTCATCAATTAGCGGATATCTTTACAAAACCTTTAGACAAGGAACGTTTTTGGACACTTAGAAGAGAATTAGGTTTAACTAACCTATCTTCACTTAGTGATTTTTAGCACTTTTAAGAATAAATGAAAAATACTTATAATAATATTTTTTGATTGCATTCTTTGCTATTAGTTAGGGGGAGTTTATGTTCTTTGGTAAAAAATAATTTTATGTTCAAATGTAGTTTAAGGATTAATTTGATTGATTGAACATGATTAATTTTCAATATATGAGTTGCCAATACCACTAGAGCTAATTAATTGAGCATTTTGAGTGTTTAAAATGGATTTTTAACATTTTTGTGCTTAATGCATCGATACACCTAACAGTGCATCGATATATCCTTGAATGTGCATCGATACACCATAAAGGTGCACCGATGCACGCCTTGAATGTGCATCGATGCATCGGTCGGGTTTTGGGTTTAAAAGACTTATTTTCTCATTTGTTTTAAACCCTAAAACTACACCCTCTTCAGCCGCACGCCTCTCTCACTCTCTAAATTCTCCTCTTACTCTAAAATCAATGTTTTTTATCAGAATTCATCCTCATTTCATCTCAAAGCCCTGCTACTATCATTAAATCGTGCAAAACAACTTCTCATTTTCATCAATCTGAAATTTTCAAGGTATTTTTTTTAAACCTATATTTTATCATATTTTGATTTTAGAACTAGTTTAGATTAGTTCTAGGATGAATATTATATCGGGCATTGATTGTTTGATGATTACAAACTAGATTTTACAACTAATTTAATCAAAAAACTCATAAATTTTCAAAGAATTTTTGAATTTTCGAAAAAAAAAATCTAAAATCTAAATTTAATTTTTAAATTTGATGTTTTTGATTTAATTATGTTGTTTTCATGAAAAACTATACATATTATAATTTTCAAACATTATTTTCTAAATAGTTTTTCAAAACTATGTCCATTAGGATTCGATTTAGAGAACCTTGAATTATTGCGGACTCAATTGAGTTTTGGGATTGATTAAATTGCATACATGTGTTTCAATTTGCAGGTTACATTTCTTATTCCGATTTCTCAACCATGTCCAATCTAAAACGCCCTAGGACTTCGTCTAGTCGTTCTAACCGACCTCAAAATCCCGTTCCTCCTACACCTAATAGTCTAATAGGATCCTGTTTTAATATGCCTGAACGTCGTAGAGACAAATTATACTCTAGGTACATAAATTCTTTCCAATCCTATAAAATCCGGGAAGAGTGTATTCCTTCTCTTCAAGCCATGATAGATATTGACTTCGAATACCTTCTGATTCTTAAAACTTGGAAGTTTGATAAAATGTTTCACCTTAAACCTATCGTCTATCATCAGTTAGTCCGTATTTTCTACTCTAATGCGGTATGCATTCAAAATCAAACTCAATGTGGGACTATAGCTATTAGATCCTATCTTTTAGGCCAATATATTAATATTGACCCTAAGACTATAACTTTCCATTTTGGGCTAGATGATGATGGGTTATTTAATGAGAATGAAACTGTGGAATATCCCTATGTTCCAAATGCTAGTGTTAGTACTCTACGATCTCATCACGATCGTTTTCTTCATTTGATGATCTCTTGGTGGTTTAGACCATCCAGAGGTAAGTACTCCACTCTTCGTGCTAGGGATTTATGGTGGATGCACTGTATCAAGAATAAGAACAAAATAAATCTGCCCCACATTATATTTAGTCAACCAGTGGATATCATAAACATTGTTCCTTCAAAACATGTCGAAACATTGATTTATGGATGTCTTCTTAGTAACCCTTTTATCAAACTCGGTCTAAACGTCTCTCTCGACAATCCTATCCCTCTCCAAAATCAAATCAATCTCACTTCGTTGAAGAAAGCGGATTGGAAACAAGATGAGGAAACTGGTCTTTGGGTCTTTCGACCCGGTAAGCAAACTCTGGGAGCGAGTTCTTCACGAGCTGCTCCTAGCTCCTCTCGTGCTCCTCCTCCTCCTCCTCCGGCACCAGCTACTGACGATGATCCCGAGTTTCAACAACTTATGCGAGATATCGACGATCACGTACCAGACGATGAGCCTGCACCAGAACCAGCACAGCAAGAAGATTAAACGCCTTCATATTTTCGATATTTCTTAGAGTCCTTTGATATGAGGTTTGCCTCCATGGAGTCTTAGATTACTGAGTTTCAGTGGGAGATGCATGAACGCATGGACGCTCTCACTCTTGAAGTTCGAGCTCATTATCCTCCTCCTCCTGATCCTCTGATGGAATGAATTTGTTTCCTTGTTATGTTTTCTTGGTTTTAATACTTGGATTGATTTTGATGTTTCTGGATTGCTTTGGATGTTTAAATTTGTTGGTTGTTGGATGATCAAACTTATTTGATGTTTTATGGATTTTGAACTTAATATATATATATTTGGTTTGGTTGAATTTTCTTATTTTTGCATCATTAGACATATATGACCAATTATGCAATTTCACATTTGATTATGAATATTGATTATGAAACTAATGGCTAATCTCTCTTTTGATTGTGATCTTAGCAGCTTAATCTTATTTACTTATTCTCAATTGGATATACTTTTCAAAAACTTTGTTTAAAACGTTTTAAAGTCTTTTTGATTTAACAAAAAGGTGGAGAAATATTAAGTGTTAAAGGGGAGAAGTGTTAGAGTAAGGGGGAGTAATTTTTCAAAAATGATTTCAAAAATAACTTTTCTTAAACAAATCTTAAAATTACACAAATGTTTTGTTATATCAAAAAGGGGGAGATTGTTGAAAACATTTTTATGTTTCGATATAACAAACCAAGTATAAATGAATTTTAAGATTTTAAAAAGATTTTTATAAGTATATTCGATTCAATTAATGAATATCAAATTATTACTCCAAGTCTTTCAAGATCAATTTCAAACCTTACTAAATGTATAAAATTGTGTTTTATACTTAAACTATTTTTAAAACAATTTTCACAAAGTATTTTGAACCAAAATCAAGCCTAAAATCAATTTTTCAAAGTGATGCACCGATGCACCAATCCATGCATTGATGCACCATGGAATAAATTGAACATCGAATGCATTTCATGCATCGATGCACATACCACGCATCGATGCACTCAGGTTTTTATGAAAACATCGAATGCATTTGATGCATCGATGCACAAGCCATGCATCGATGCATGCAGGCTATTTTGAAACATCGAATGCTCTTCATGCATCGGTGCACTCTTAGTGCACCGATGCACTAAGGGTCCAACGGTTAAAATATTTGAATTTTACACTTGATGCACCGATGCACCTAGGGTATGCATCGATGCACTGACGCTCCCAACTGATTTTATTAATTGTTTTCACACTTAAACGACTCTATTGACTCCACTAATCATCCCCAACGTTCAGAATCATTTGAAGGAGTATTTAAATAAGCTTAGAAGCCATTGATCAATAAGAGAAAACAACAAGCAACTAGAATCAAGAGAGACTCAAAGAGAAAGCATCAAACTCATTGTTTGAGCAATTCAAGCCTATTTTCCATTCAATATTCATTTTGCTTTCAAGAACACTACGTGTACTCAATCATGTTCATTTTTTAGTGTTCTTTTCTTTGTTCTAGAATTGTGCAAATAATCTACCTTGTGAGGTTTTCCTTGTAAGTTTGCAAATTTGTAATCTTCTCTTTGAGAAAGAGTGTTCTCAAGAATTGGGGTATATTCTTGAGGGAGTTGTAAGGTTATCTCTTTGGCCTCAAAAGAAAGAACAAATTAGTGAATTTGTTGGAAAATCCTTAGTGTGGATAGCTAAGGTAGTGGACGTAGACTTTGGTTGAGAAAGTCGAACCACTCTAAATCGCTATGCAACTTCTTTCAATTTTCTGCAAAAGCTTCCACCAAAATTTTAATTGCCAATTCATCCCCTCTTGGCTGATTCTGTCGATCGATTAACTCAACAATATACATTTTATAAACGCAACTACTCGAACCCAAAACATCTAAGAAAGACAACGCTCTCTCAAAATGTTACAAATATAAAGATGTTTGGACATTGAAATGTTATGATTTGTTACAAATTAATTGGTTTGAATTATTTTATTTTTAAATTTAATGTATAATTATTGTCATACCTCTTTCAGATTTTTTTATTTATAATTCTTTCTTCAATAATTTTTTCGATAACTAAAATTTTCAATTAGAAAATCTCCGTATGTTTCTTTTCGTTGATCACAGTGTTAGGATTTCATATCTTTCGATTAGTTATCTCTCTTCACATGATTGTTGGTAGACTATATAGTCTGACAGAGTCAAATCTATTATCGATCGATCATATCTATTCGACTTTCTAATTCACAAGTAACAATCATAATCTTAAACATAACACTAACATTAAAAGTCTTTATATTAACATGCTAGATTAAGAGATTTTCTTCATATTTTCTCTTTTTTTGAGGATATACTTAAATTGTATGTGCAAAAGTTGATATAGGATCCGTGTGTATTTCTCTCGGAATCTTACATTTTGTTTAGCAGGCCGTATTCGGCCCATAGAAAATAAAAATCTGAGTTATTTTACAATATTTTGAATTTGGTTGATAAAAATAAAAGGATGTAATAGTTGGATGACCAACTATTAATTTTACCCATTCGTTTTGGCATTTTTGGTTATGATTTTCCTCTTTTCGTTATCCCACGAATGATACAAAGGCAATTTCCAGGACATATTCAATCCTATAAAGGCTCAGAATCGTTTAACATTTCTAGGGTTTTCGTATCTAAGGAGGAAGAACAAGAAGCTCAGGTTCTCTATCTATCGATCTTCTCTTTCGATTCTGAATTTGAAAATTAGTTTTTGATTTCCATTTTATACATGTTGCTTGAAATTCCCGTAAAAACATTTAATCGATTTCGGTAGTTCGTTTGAATTGATTGTACTAGATCTCTTGTACTAGATATTCGTTTTGGTCAAAGGAATCAATCTGCTGCTGGATAATGTAATCTAACTCTGAAGTTTGCATTCGTTTGAGATTTATGTGTAACTTAAAATTCCATCTTCTCTAGATGAAATGAAAATTGAGATTATAAGTAATTGCTTTTCGTATGCAAAAGATTTCTAATGAGGAGGCCTTTAATAAAGGCTTTTTAAGTTAGAATTCAGGTCTGTGTGTTGTAAAACATGCTTATTGAGGCTTCTCCTAAGCAAAATTTCAAACTTTATTTAACTTCTGAAAATCACTACTACGGCACGGCCCCTTTCTGATATCTGTTAGACCGGCTGGCTATTAATGTAACTTTTATACAAGTGGTACTGGCAAGTAGTTTTGCAATCCTATACTGTTAGTGCAAGTGCAACTGATGTCTGTTTGTTAGCAGAAATTCAATGTTAGCAGGAGAGGGGGAATAGTAGGCCTTTGGGTTTCTCTTGAGAATGAAATTTCAATTATTTTTTCTTTATTTTTTTGGGTACAGTTACAAGCTTACAATTGGGGAGGGAGAATGTTACGGTCAGGACTCAAACCCTGGACCTTGAGAGTACCGTTACTAAGCTTTAACTGAATGTTTTAGCTCGTAAAAATTGTTTCATAGTTGTACCCAAGATCTAGGACTAAATCCAACTTATACTAATTCTTTTAAGGGGTGGTGAGGGGGTGGGGGTGTTTATGGAAAAAGGGAGCACTAGCCAACTGGTATGTGAACCTCATGTCACTTACAGAATCGTCCGAAAACAGTTTAGAAAACAAAATATTGACCCACTGATTATATAGAATCAGGAAACCATTCTATCAATTAGATTGACATTGCTAAGAATCACTCTTGTGATTGATGGTAGTTCACACAAGACAGAATAAGGGAAAGATCTCTGTTTGATTAATTCAGAACTCAATATGGAGTTATGGACAAACAATATAGCAACTCAGGCAATGTTTCCAGCATATTTCCTTTAATTTTGTTAATTTTACTAGCAATATAGTAGCGTATAAACTAGCTCATTTGGGCTTATGTAGTGATGTTCCTAGAGTTTTTGATTTACATTTTTTGTATGATATTCATGAGGACGTTTTGAATGATGGTATGCTTTGTTAATTAATAAAATAGTATGGTTATTCAAAAAAAAGTCAAATCAATATTGATTATTGAGAGACATAATGGAACCTCGAAGTGGAAGCCCTTGAAATGTCATTTTTTGGAAGAGAGAAGTGAGACTGGGATGTTTTGGGAAGCTTTGAAAAGCTTAATTGCTTTGATTATCTATGACTGGAATTTGAACTTGCAATGCAGGATGTCGGAGGCACCATTCAGACCTAGGGAAATTCTTCTGGAGAATCAGAAATATTTTCAAAGCATCTACAAGCACACTTACCTGAAAGGACCTCACGACAAGATTACATCAGTTGCCATTCCTACTGCTTTGGCCGCAACTTCTTTGTTCTTCATTGTGAGTTTTTTTTTTACTTGTACACATGCCTTTCAATGGAGGGCCTATTTGCTCATGTTGTGCTTGTTATATTTCAGGGACAAGGAGTCTATAACATGTCTCATGGAATTGGGAAGAAAGAATGAGGCTTCCTGGACTCTGTATGGTCTTTATAGCATGAAATTGCTTGTTTAATAGCTCTAATAATGGCTTGGTTTGCACATTTCATTGCTACCTATGGAAATATTGAAGCTACCCTTGACGGGTTATTTTCGGTTTGGTTTGATTCTTTTGAATACTGCATCATCTGATTTTTTGTGTTTATTCCCTGTTAAGCTTGAATAATCTCAGTACATAATCAATAAGATTGTTTGTAATGTATGTAATATACATGTCGTCCAATGTAGAGTCAACCATCCAACATTCTGGTGTAAGATGAAGGTCCAAAGAATGTATAGGTGTGCCGTGCAGAATGGAAACCTTGCGTTTTTCAGTTGACTTTCCAGTCACAGGCCTGCATTGAAACCATCTCATCGAAAGTCTCCGTCTAAGTTCTAACACATCCCCAAGCCATCCCTCAACGTTCTTTTTTTCTTTTTGATAAATCTAGGTTAAGTATAAGGTAGTATCTGTTTTAAAGATAGTTTTTAATCTCTTGACATTAAACGTTTACATCTCTAACATTCATGGAGCTCAACGTTGAATCATGGTGGAGCTTAACGTTGAATCATGGTGAAAGATGGTGGAAGGGGAAATCATTTTTTGAGCACTTTTGAACATACAAACTGACGTGATTAACATATTGATTATTAACATATATTAATAAAAAAAAGTTAATTGCATCATGTCTTAAAACTATAATTTTTATTTTAAATTAATCTTTAAACTTTTGAATATTTTAATTTCACCCTCAAACTATGAATTTTTTTTATATTAAACCCTAAACTTTTGAACATTCTTATTTTATCTGTAAACTATAACATTTTTTTTAAATTGGTCCTTAAACTTTTGAATACTCTAATTTCATTCTTGAATTAATCCAAATATCTAATTAGTTCCAATTATAGTTTGACATGAATTTCGTTTTCTTGAAATATATAATAATAATATAACTTTGTCTAACCATTTTATTAACAATATATGTGATTAGAATATACAAATAGTTTGAGATGAAATTAGAATGTTAAAAAAATTTAGAGACCAATTTAGAATGATGGTCATAGTTTGGGATGAAATTTTTCATATAAGGAAGGGACCACTTGTGTACTGTACCCAAAAATAATTACAGCTAATGGTAAAATTAATTAATCAATTAATTAATAATGGCTCCTGGGGATGGAGGGGGTCACAGTCGCACAAGCCCCGATGAGAAAAATAAAGTTTTATAAATTCAAAGAAATCGTCGTCAATGATAATATCGCCACCTAAAATATCTAGCGCTAAAGTATTAACCAAACGACAAGTGTCACTGCAAACTAGTTCTCAGCCACAAATTTTAACTTATTTTAACATTCCACCAATACATTTATTTAATTTTCTTGGTTAGTTGCACCAAGGGCCGCAGCATTAATGGTTCTCAAACTTTATAATATGTTAATTAGAATATTAAAATAATATTATCATATTAATTAGTTTTTTCAAATTTTAATAATTAATTTATAAATTAAATGATATTGAAAGTTTTACGTAAATATGTTTAAAATATATAGCATAAACTAAGTGATTTTTAGGATTTGTTATTATTCGTTATGGTCATAAGTTTGAGTATTGCGAATACCAAGAGTATGAGCGTTAATTATCAAATGATTGAGAGTTATCTTTAAATAAATACTACATTATATTTATTTTTAATAGTGAAGTGATTATAATGTAATATTTATTTATAATTTTCTTAATCAATTGATAATATACCTTGCATACGTAACCACTCGAGCCAGGATTTCTAGGTAAATCATTCTTTTTAACCACTATGATCGCTTGATGAGTTCAAAGTTCATCGAATTTAAAGTAATTCTTTTTTATTAGTTTGTAGTGCTTATAAAACAATATATGGCTATAATTTACCAATAATAATATACATATATTTTGCAAATACAACCGCTAAAATATGAATCTTGATTATTATTATTATTACTTATTATGATGATTGCTAAGTTGAAGTAATGACTTGATTGATACGATATTAATATCCGAAAGATTCTTGTATAATGTCTTAAAGTTAGGGACATGTATTGCAATTAACCCAAACTCTTAAAGAAACTTCGTCTTTACCTTCGAAGCCATGCCACCCTTTCGTTTTCACCTTTTTTTTCAACTACTTTCTTCGTCCAATCAATTGCAGGTTTGACGTCATGTAAATAATGAAGGCGTGTTGAGAAAGAGAGTTAACAATGATTGTACAGAAAATGTATCTTGCATTTACAACATATCAGTTGGTGATTTATACAAGTTTGTACTGCTGAGCTGGTTCATAACTGCACAGCAGTTGTAACGACCTTAACCAATTCTTAACAACATCTTAACAGCCTGCTAACCACTCTAACCATCTCATGCATGTACTCACACCATCATTCATACATACATACATTCACAGTTATTATTCTAATATTCTCCCCGCTCCTTCAACTCTTTCTGTCTTCATTGACAAGGTAACACATGCATTTGATCCCTGAAAACTTCAAATGCTCCCTTTGTCAATGACTTGGTGAATCCGTCCGCCACCTGGTGACATGCTGGAATGTAGTTCACCTGAAGTTGTTTGGCTACAACTTTCTCATGAACAAAGTGCACATCCATATCCACATGCTTTGACATCGCATGATATGTCGGATTTGTACTTAAGGACACCGCGCTCGTGTTGTCACACCAAATAACAAGTACATTTTTACTTCCTACTCCTAGCTTACCCAACAAGGAACTTATCCACGTAACTTCAGCAGCAACCTCGGCAACGCTACGATACTCTGCCTCTATTGTAGATCTGGAAACTGTTTTTTGTTTCCGCGAACACCAGACAATAGGACACGCACCAAGGAACACTACATGTCCAGACACAGACCTTCTGTCATCAAGGCTGCCACCCCAATCAGCATCAGCAAATGCCATCACTTCAAGTGATTTGCTACCTGCACCAGCAAATGTAAGACCATAATGCATTGTTCCAGCTAGATATCGAAGTATCCTCTTCACTGCAGCTAGATGCAATTCACGTGGAGCATGAATATACTGAGCTGCTTTGTTTACACTGAATGCCACATCTGGTCACGTGTGACAAACATATAACTGCGCTAACAATGCTTCGCTATTCTTGAGCATCTATCAATAACTCTCCAGCTTTCTGAGTCAACTTTGGTGACCCTACCATCGAAGTAGCAGTAGGTGTGGCATGTAGTAAGTTTGTCCTCTCTAAGAGTTCAATTATGTATTTCTTTTGAGACAACACCAAAAAATCCTTTCTGCGTTTGACTTCAATACCCAAGAAGTAGGATAATTCCCCTAAATCCTTCAAGGAAAATTCCTGATTCAAAGCTTGCACCACATCATCAATAACACAAGATGAACCACCTGTAAGTATATAATATCATCCACGTAAACAAGAATGTATGTACTACATCCTTCATCATCTTTAATAAAAAGTGACACATCAGCTCGAGACTCATTAAAGCCCAACCGAATCAAACTGGCTTTTAGCTTGTCATGCCAGTTTCTTGGTCCTTGTCTCAATCTATACAACGCTTTATTAAGTTTGCATACAAGCAAACTACCATCATCTGCATATTCCTCGAAACCAGGTGGTTGTTGCATGAACACCTCCTCTGTTAAATCACCATTTAAGAATGCATTATTCATATCAATTTGTCTCAAAGGCCAGTTCTTTGCAACTGCAATTGAAAGTACTGTATACAACGTAGGAAACTTAACAACAGGACTATAAGTTTCTTTAAAATCACAACCAGCAACTTGTGAATACCCTTTGGCCACAAGACGTGCTTTGTGTCGTTCAACTGACCCATCTGGTTTCTTTTTAACCCTAAACAACCACCTGCAACCAACAACCGCACGCCCTGCAGGCAGTTTAACAAGCGACCAGGTATTATTTCTTTGCAATGTAGTAAACTCAGCTTGAACAACTTCTTTCCAGCTGGAAATTTTGACTGTTTCATAAATGTCACTTGGAACTTCATTAGCAGGCGCGATCATATAAGCTTTTGGCTTGAATATGCCGCACTTACTTCTTGTCAACATTGGATGTCTGCTAATTATAGCATCATTCATATTTTCTGTATCGCTAACATGATCTTGTTCAGCACCAACAGTGTCTTGATCACCTTGCGAAACTTCACCTGATGCTTGATATTCAGTGCCTGGTACACCATCTGCACCTTCTATCATTCCAGAACCAGAATTGACCCCAGGCAAATTACCAGGTGAACTACTTGAGCTGCCACTACTACTGACCACTGAAGTATGACCAGCTTCTTCAACTCCTCTTTCACTAAGCAATTTACTTACATCGGTTACAACTTGTAGAGAACTGGAACATCTCCTTATTTTAGATGAGGAAACCACATAACCACTCTTTCCTGCAAAGGGAAACTGCGTTTCATCGAACACCACATGCCTAGTTGTATAGACCATGTCATCTTCAGCAAGGCATTGAAAGCCTTTGTGTTGCATACTATAGCCTAAGAACGTGCAAGGCGTTGACCTAAACTTTAACTTGTGCTTTAAATAGGGTCTCAAATGAGGAAAACAAAGACATCCAAATACCTTCAACTGCCCATAATTAGGTTTTTTGCAATAGAGTTTCTCAAATGGTGAAACTCCTTGTAACACTCTTGTAGGAAGCATGTTTATAAAGTGTACGACAGTAACTACTGCATACGCCCAAAACTTAACTGGCATGGAAGTTTGAGAAAGTAGGACTAGAGCAAGTTCTATCACATGTCTATGCTTACGTTCGACCACTCCATTTTGCTCCGAGGTATGTGGGCAGGTAAGTCTGTGTTTGATGCCTTTATTCAACAAATAACTCGACAGCCTGCGATACTCCCCTCCCCAATCACTTTGAACAGCCTTTATAGGCAGATCAAACTGAACTTGTACCATCTGCTGAAACAACTCAAATGCATTAATCGCTTGAGCCTTATCTTTTAACAAATACAACCACGAATGCCTGGTACAAGCATCAACAAACATTATATAGTATTTGTAGCCATTTGAGACCACATGTGAAGGTCCCCAAAGATCTATAAATACTAGCTGGAAAGGAGTTGCATACACAGTTGTAGATTCATA